CGCCTGCCTCCGTGTCAAATTGTCTCCATACGTCTAAATCCCCATTATCTTCACACCTAGTCCCACCTCGTCCTTCTCTTTGTTTTGTCATCCTCCTTAGAACCCCCTCCTCTCACCCCCCCTTTCCTCCCCCCAATCCCACCCCCACACCCTCTTCTTTCCCCCACCTTCCTCCCCCCAATCTCACCCTGACCCCCTCCTCTTTCCCCCTCCCTTTTTCCTTCCCTCTCCCCCGTTCTGCCTCCCTCCCCCCTTCCCAACCCACCCCTTCATTGTGCTTATTCAAGGTGGTTACAGTCGGTCTGAAAGATTTAACTTACCGTCCGTGTGCCCAGCCCTACACTGTTGGTCCTGGGTCATCCCTTTACAAGGCGAAGTGCTTTAAGATCATCGGCACTACAGTGAACAAGTCAGGGCGTACTGTCTATAACGCGGATGTATTCGGGTTTGTCCTGGATGCTTATGACGAACCGGCGCTTCCAAACAGGGGGAGGCTTGCAAGCATTAAAGAGATACCCGTGGTGAGTTGTAAAATGCAACTTGAGTGTGTTTCAGAGAGCAAGAGAGTGAATTGAATGCAGAGCGCCTGTGGTGGACTGCATATGCCTGTTGCACTAGACAGCGTGCACCATTGCCTTGTCTTAACTCCATTATTTTCCTCCGAGTGTCTCATTATAAGCCAAATTTCACGTTTTTGCTGTGCAGGGAGAAGGAACGTTTGAGATTGAGATTGTGGTTCCAGCAAGTGAGTCGCTTCCGCTGACGTTGAAGAACTTCAGAGCTACTGGATTTCATGGAGGGGTGCAAAGGACAGGCAACCCTTATGACGTTTTTGAGGAGGATAAGAAAGGCGACGATGATGACATCCCATTCTGATGCTGCCACGTTTTCCTTGTCTTAAACCTCTTATATATTCTAGATGCAATTTTGGTGAGATGAGTCTCATTAATATCTATTCCTGAGAATATCTATTCATTATAATTGGGTAACGAGTGGTAGTTTGTATCAAACTTTGTGTAACACTTTCGCAACAATTATCGTCAGGGCTCGTCTGGTTTCTGACGACCACCAGATCGTGTTGGCCAAAGAACACATGTCTGACGGAGGCAATTCACGAACTGCGCACTCCGCCGCCGCAGTCGACGACGTAGAAAGCTCTGCGAACCATCCTCCGACATTTGCAAGGTCGCAGACTCGCAGAACGGCTTGCTCTGACCGACAGTCCCGCCTGCCTCGTCGCGCAGCGCCAGGGTCCCGCGTGGTAGTCAGACCGTCCCATGTGCGAAGGGAACGACGACAGGCAGGGCTAACTTGAGGAGTCGTACAGCGTATACCGCGACTTGACTTTGCTGCGTCGCGCTTCGAAACATGCAGAGCGGAATGCGCTGGAGCGGAAGCAAAAGCGCCAGCGCGTTTTTGCACCAACCCCCTCTCCCCTCCCCCGTCCCCCGTCCGCTTCTTACAACCCAAACCTCACCAAAACAGCTGGTACCGTGACAAACGACGCGCCAGCCGAATCTGCCATGCTAGCAAATATAGCACGAGCTCCATGGGTCCGCTCCACTCCCGGCCTCCACAGATTGCGCGGACTGCAGGAAGCGCCGGCGGAGAGGTTCCGCAAAACTGAAATATGGACCGAGAAATTGCGCAAACTTTGGCAAACACAAATTCACGTTCATCTTGGGGTAGTGCTCGCTTTAACCCTACTTCAACGTTTCCAACCGTTAAGGAACACATAAAACCAATCTGAACCGCAATGAACGAACGTCCGGGACACGTCCTCTGATTAGCTCCCCTTGTCAAAATCACTGACGCAGAACGACGACGACACACTTGCGGAACCACAACGAGCACAAAAGAGGCCGGAAATATCCGACAAAGCGCTAGCATTTTGCCTCCGCCGCGACTCTCGAGCCGGAATTAAACTGCACGCTTCGGACCCCTCTATTGCTCGGAAGCCAATCCCAGCAGTCAATAGTAGTCACGACCACGGCACGCTAGTCAGTGGAGCCCTACGGAGAAAGGCATCAGTGCACAACACCGTTTGAAGTGCCTCACGCCTAGGTCCATTCGTCGAGCCTTTTATTCGCAAGACGCTGAGAATACCCAGGGGATAAAGTCGGCTCGCTTTGTTACGCGTAATTAGTTGAAGTGTCTAGCTACGAGATCAGAACCACAAAGCGGTGCCGTTGAGCCTTACACTTGTCAAGCAAAAGCTCGAATAGGAGTGCTTACGTCGAGTAAGAGCAAGCCATTCTGCGCGTGAAGCTCGCACGAGGTCTCACTATCCACCACGTTTCGTTCTTTGCAACTTTCCGTTTCGTGCCACGAGTAATTTTTCAATTCACGGCCCTTTTTTTCTCCTTCCAGAATGAAGCAGGCAGGAGCGTCGATGAGCAAGAGTCAATCTCTGTCGTCGATTCCAGTGCCAGTGCTAGATGCTCCCTTCCTTCACAATAGTCACAGCAAGTACAAGCACGACAGGGGACCGTCCTGGTCGCTCCTCGTCCTAGCCTGCGCGCTCACTGCGATTGTATCCAGCCTCGCAGGGTCGTACACTTCGTACGCGCTAACGAGAGATTCGATACAGTCCACACGTTCCAATGACCTACTTGAACCCTCCACGTACAGTCCTACTCCTCCCACCCAAATCTACAGCGAATCTAGAGTAACCCGAAAAACAGGGACAGACGCGGTAGTTTTATACTCGCCAAAAGCATCCCTGCTATCTCGCTATGCGGACCTCATCGGACCGAGCAGTCGCAGGCGCGACACCGGCGGGGGGGGCGGGAATGGTGCCGGAAGTCGCGGCGGGAATCACGAAGCTGACTGGGTCCGACGATTGGTGGAATCGGCAAAGGTCAACGGCAGCGCGCAGAACAGGAACGGGTCAATGGTGGTTCTTGTAACGGGGGCTGCAGGGTTCATCGGGTCTCACCTCGCGCTAGCTCTTAAAGCGGAGGGTCACGGGGTGGTGGGACTGGACAATTTTAACGACTACTATGACACCGCGCTTAAAGAAGCGCGCGCGGCGCGGCTGTGGTCGGCGGGAATTGAGATTATCCGAGGTGACTTAAACAACGGGACGCTTCTCGACGCGCTGTTCGGTACAGTCACATTCACCCACGTGGCGCATATGGCGGCCCAGGCGGGGGTGCGGTACGCGTTGGAGAATCCGTCGTCCTATGTGGACAGCAACGTCGCAGGGTTCGTGAATCTGCTGGAGAGGTGTCGCAGGGTGCCTGTGCGACAGCCTGCGATCGTCTGGGCGTCGTCGAGCAGCGTGTACGGGGTGAATCGCGAGGTCCCGTTTTCGGAGACGCACAGGACCGAGCGACCGGCGAGCCTGTACGCTGCGACGAAGCTGGCTGGCGAATCGATCGCGCACTCGTATAATCACATCCACGGATTGTCGCTGACCGCGTTGAGATTCTTCACTGTATACGGGCCGTGGGGAAGACCCGATATGGCGTACTTCTTTTTTACGAAGAATATCTTGGACGGAAAGGCGATTGATGTGTACATGGGAGCCAATGGGGTGAGTCGTACATCAGAGCCATGTGAGCCAATGATTTCTCGTGCCTACTCGCCCTTCGCTCTTCGCCTTCCCTCACCCTCCCTCACTCGTCCCTCCTCGCCCCTATTCTATCATCTTCCTTCGCCTTTCCCCATCCGCCACTTGGCCGGCTCCCCAACATCCCTCCCTCCCTCCCTCCTCCTCCCCCCCCCCCTCAACCCCACCTCTCTCTCTCTCTTTCGCTCTCTCTGCTCCCCCCCCCCTCCTCCCCTTATCTCTTGAAATTTGTGCCTAATGCTCCCCCATGACCCTCTGCCTGTACCCTCACCCTATCCGCGCTCTTTCTCGTGCCCAAGCTCTTGATTGAACCCCCCTTCTCCCCTCTCCTCCTTCCCCCCCTCTCCCCCCCATGGTTCTCTCTGCCTGCACCTCATCCTATCCGCGGTCTTTCTCTCTCATACATCTCGTCATTGTCACGTTCTCAACTCCTCCCCCTCCCCTTCCCCTCCCCGCCACCCCACCCTCCCCCCCACTTTCCGTCGCTTGCCTCCTCCCCTTCGTGGCAGACCCTCGTATCGAGAGACTTCACCTATATTGATGACATTATCAAGGGTTGTGTCAGCGCCCTAGAAACAGCTACACCCAGCACTGGTGTCCAAGGCAAGAAGACAGGTCCGGCACAGCTTCGGGTGCTGAACCTCGGGAACACCCAACCTGTCTCCGTCCCTCAGCTAGTCGACTATCTACAGTTGCATCTGCAGGAGAATGCTCTGAAGCGGTTAGTGCAGCTGCCTCATAACGGAGATGTGCCTTTCACACATGCAAATGTGTCAAGAGCCGAGCAGGAGCTAGGGTATCACCCTACAGTGGGGCTCAAGGAGGGCCTGCAGAGATTTGTGAGCTGGTACCTGAGATTTTATCGGGGAGGTGCTACTAAGCAAGCTGAAGGGGAGAAGATGCCAAGGAGAAGGGCAAGGTCAGAGTCAGGTGGGAAGGCGAGGTTTGGCAGAGACAAGGCATCATTGTAGGCGAGTTTTTTAGAAGCAATAAGGTTTGTAAGCGGATGCTAACTAACATATATAGTTTAATTGTTCTTACCTTGTGTAATGTGCCATTGCAATATTAGGCTCTATTTGAAACATTACCAAGCTGCTTGTGGCTATCCAGGATGACCTCGTAGGGAATTCGGCAGTCTGCAAAGTGAATCCATGCCTCGTGAAAGCTGACGTGGACTGACTAGCATTCCTGTTGTCACCAAGGTGCGAGCCAATCAGCCGATCTCGACATTCCCGCGCTGGACTCGAAGCGGGACACCCTTGCGACAGATGACGAACGAAAACTTCTGGCTTCGCATGAGTTACCAGCGAGCTAGCGACGTCGCACCCGTACGGAATCTGTTATTTTCCATGACTGGTTCCTCCTCACCTCATCTCGTGCTAAAAGAGAGTTTCTTGTACAAAGAATACGCCTAGATAATTGCGAGCACATCCTTCTAAAAAAACGCGAAATACGCCATTAGATTCCTGTAGTGCAACACTCCAGTCTCCAGTCATTACCGCCTTTGACGACTCCATTGCGAAATACGCGTCCGTTTTACACCGTAGCTCGTCAACTCCAATATAATATCTTTCGCCGTCTGTCTCGACATAGAGTATCATCAACCAAATCTCCATTTGCGACAGTCATGGATGCGGATTTATCGCCGTTATCAGGCAGTCCCGTTACAGCAACTCTCTCCAAACCTACCGCCACCACCACAGCTACCATCACTGGCACGCCTCCCTCCATTCTCGCCAAGATTCACTGTCCCACACCCCCCGACCTAACCCTAATCGAGCAGCTCGTAGGCGGGCCGCTCTGTGGCCCCTACTGCCAGATCTTCCCGAGACAGGGACAGTCGGGGTGGGGTTACCTGGGGGAGGGTTACCCGGAAGAGGGCGGATTGGGGGTTGCGGACGCGGGTGCGGGGTGGACTGGGACAGGCGGGGCAGGGGGGAGCGGAAGGGGAAGCGGACGGGGAAGCGGAGGGGGAAGGGGACGGGGGAGAGGGTGGGCGGAGGAGGGGGAGGGGGAGGAGGGTGTGGGGGTTCTTATGGCGCCGCTACAGTCCCCCAAGGTTGCGCCAAGCGTGGCGGAGATAGGGGCGTGGGGAAGGCAGGCGCACGGGGAGACGTGCGGAATGTAGTCTCGGGGGAAGGGGGAGGAGGGGAATGGGGGAGCGGAGGAGGGGGGCGCGGGAGAGGGGTTCTTGTGGTGCCACTGTTGTCGGCCAAGGTTGCACCAAGGCGGCGGAAATAGGGGCGTGGGGAGCGCAGGCGCACGGGGAGACGTTGTAGGGTTGGGGGGAAGGGGGAGGAGGGGAATGGGGAAGCAGAGGAGGGGGGCGAGGGAGAGGGGTTCTTGTGGCGCTGCTGCAGTCGCCCAAGGTTGAGGAAATAGGGGCGTGGGGAAGGCAGGCGCAGGGGGAGATGTGCGGAGTGTAGGGCTTGGGGAAAAGGGGAAGGGGAAAGGGGGGTGGGGGGCTGTAGACACAGCCACGGCTGTAGACACAGCCACGGCTGTAGACACAGCCACGGCTGTAGACACAGCCACGGCTGTAGACACAGCCACGGCTGTAGACACAGCCACGGCTGTAGACACAGCCACGGCTGTAGACACAGCCACGGCTGTAGACCCAGCCACGGCTGTAGACCCAGCCACGGCTGTAGACACAGCCACGGCTGTAGACACAGCCACGGCTGTAGACACAGCCACGGCTGTAGACAAAGCCACGGCTGTAGACACAGCCACGGCTGTAGACACAGCCACGGCTGTAGACCCAGCCACGGCTGTAGACCCAGCCACGGCTGTAGACCCAGCCACGGCTGTAGACACAGCCACGGCTGTAGACACAGCCACGGCTGTAGACACAGCCACGGCTGTAGACACAGCCACGGCTGTAGACCCAGCCACGGCTGTAGACCCAGCCACGGCTGCGCCAGGCGTGGCGGAGACAGGGGCGTGCGTGGGGAAGGCAGGCGCATGGGGAGACGTGGGGGACGTAGACACCTTGAAATTGCAGGGTATTCTTGAGAATTCGAAAAAATGCTCTGGAGACGTGCGGGATGTAGACCCCGTGTCTCCTGGGGAAGAGAGAGGAGGGGAATCGGGAGAGCAGAGGAGGGGAGTCGGGAGAGCAGAGGAGGGGAGTCGGGAGAGCAGAGGAGGGAAGTCGGGAGAGCAGAGGAGGGGAGTCGGGAGAGCAGAGGAGGGGAGTCTGGAGAGCAGAGGAGGGAAGTCGGGAGAGCAGAGGAGGGGAGTCGGGAGAGCAGAGGAGGGGAGTCGGGGGAGGGGTTCTTGTGGCGCCGCTGCTGTCGCCCAAGTTTGCGCCAAGCATGGCGGAAATAGGGGCGTGGGGGAAGGCAGGCGCCGGGGGAGACGTGTGGGATGTAGGCAGGAAGGGGGGAATGGGGAGGAAAGAGAATGGGAGGGGGGAGCGGGGCGGCGGAGGTGAATAAGGAGGCTGCTAAGAGGTGCATTTTGAGTCGACTCAAAGGACATGAGGTGAATAAGGAGGCTGCTAAGAACACGCCCAGGGATGCGCCAAGTGCTGCAGATATAGGGGTCAGCGCAGGCGCAGGCGCAGGGAAGGGAGGCGCAGTGGGGAATGCGCGGGATGTCGGAATGGGGGAGGAAGGGGAGTTGGGAGGAAAGGGAGTGGGAGGGGGGAGCGGGGCGAATAAGGAGGCGGCTAAGAATACGCCCAGGGATGCACCAAGTGCAGCAGAGATAGGGGAGCAGGCGCAGGGGGGGATGTGCGGAATGTAATGATGGGGAGAGGGGAGGAGGAGTGGCGTTCTTGTGGCACCGCTTCAGTTGGCGTCTATTTTTGAGGCGCCTCAACAATAGACTCCTCACGAATGTAATGATGTGGAGAGGGGAGGAGGAGTGGCGTTCTTGTGGCACCGCTTCAGTTGGCCAAGAGTGGCGGAACTAGGGGCGTGGGGAAGGAAGGCGCAGGGGGAGAAGCACGGAATGTAGTGATGGGGTGGAGGGGGAGGAGGGAGTGGGGGAGTTGGGGCACTGCAGTCGCACAACCGTGGCTGAAACAGGGCCGTGGGGAAGGCAGGCGCCGGGGTGAGGGGAGGTGTGCGGAACGTAGGAATGGGGGAGGAAAGGAAGGGAAGGGAAGGGAAGGGAATTGCAGTGGGGAATGTGCGGAATGTAGGAATGGGGGAGGAAGGCTATTTGGAGGACGGAGCGGGGCAGAGGAGATAAGAAGGCGGTAAGAACACCCCCAAGGTTGCGCCAAGCTTGGCTGAAATAGGGGCGTGAGGAAGGCAGGCGCCGGGGGAGATGTGCGGAGTGCAGTGTTGTCACAACGAGAAGTGGGGAGGAGGGGAAAGGAGAGGAGAGGAGAGGAGAGGAGAGGAGAGGAGAGGAGAAGAGAGGAGAGGAGAAGAGAGGAGAGGAATTGGGGTGGAGCCTGGAAGGGAAATGGGATGTGAAGGAAGGAGCTGTGATTACAATGAGAGGTGTCTATCGTTTGCTTTTGAGTCGACTCGAAAGGAGAGGAGAGGAGTTGGGGTGGAAGGGGGACAGGATGCGCAGGAAGGTGCTGTGATTCCAAGAGGTGCCAGTTGGTGCGAAACATGGGAGCCGATTTTTGAGCCGCCTCAAAAGGCGAGGAGGAGGGGAGAGGAGAGGAGGGAGTTGGGGTGGAAGGGAAAGGGGATGCGCCGGAAGGAAATCATGGGATCGCAGAAATGGGGAGCTGTGATTCCAATACGAGCTGGCACTTGATGCGAATCATGGGAGCCGATTTTTGAGCCGATAAGAGGTGGTATGTATTTGGTGCGAATCATGGGAGGCGAGGAGTAAGTCGTATGTGGGGGAGTAGAGGGTAGCATGTGAGGGAGAAGAGGGAGGACCCTAGTTAATTGTTGAGGCGCTTAAAAAATGGGAGGAGCATGGGGGCGCGAAAAGGGAGGAGCCTAGCTGAGGAGAGAAGAGAGGGAACGCACCCAGCGCACCTTTTGAGGCTTGTTGCTAGGTCAGTCATTTCTGCACCTCTCTCTCTCTCTCTTTCCTTCTCTTTCTACTGCGTTTGTGATTTTTCATTTTCCTGTCCCTTTTTTATGGTTTGAAGTATAGTGTTCATCCTGCCTGGTTTTTTCTTTTCATTATATTTTCTTTGTACATGTAAAGATAGTATAATAAATTGTCCATAACAAGCTACAGTAGCACAAAGGGCCGTTGAACTGAAACAGAACAAGAAAGAAAACAAGCAGCAGGGAATAAGCAGCTTCCACAGGTGTGCAGCTAGGGAATCCCGAGAGATTCTGCAGATGCTGGGAAGTCCCATGAAAGTTGTCTTTCCGTGTAGCTAGTCCTGTGTGTTGCAGGGTGGGGGTTTGAGGGGTGAGGGAGGTGCAAGAGAGGTGAAATTGAGGGAGAGACGAGCAACTTGCGGCTAGGGAATCCGGAGGGAGTCTGTAAATGCAGGGGGGTCCCCTGGAATCTGTCTGTTTGGGTGGCTGGAGTCGTAGATGGAGTGTTTTGAGTCGACTCAAACCACACCGGGAGCCAGCTTGGAGGGAGTCCGTAGATGCAGGGGATTCCCCTGGAATCTGTCTGTTTTTTAGTCGACTCAAAAGGAGTCCCATGAAATCTGTCTGTTTGGGTGGCTAGTTCTGTGTGTTGCAGGGAAGAAGAGGTGAAAGAGGATTAAGGGGTCTGGAGGTACAGTAGGCGAAGGGAGTGAGAGAATGTCGCCTGCTTTGTCATTTGATGATATGCCTTTGGAGTTCATTTGTATATATATATATATATATATATATATATATATATATATATATATATCACGCACCTTCAGTGTAATGTTCTTGGCGAGCCAGTCAAGGCCCTCGTACAGGCCTTCCCCTGACGTGGCACAGGTGCTCTGAATGTACCTGGGCGGGGGGGGGGGGGGGAGAGAGAGGAGGTGTAAGGGTGTATTTCGAATGTACAGGTGCTATAGTGATGTTATTTCCTTGATGTGTGTGTGCGTGCGTGCATGTGCGCTCATGTACATGTGTGCGTGAATGCGTGTCTACAAGTGGGGTTGGTGGTGGCTTTGAGCGGGTGTAGGGGGATGCAGGTTCACGTGTGTTGTCAGCTCACCAGGTCCATGTGTGTGGGTGGTGTGGATGTGGGGGGGTGTAAGGGGATGCATGGTAGAAGGGGATGCATGGTGTAAGGGGGTGCATGGTAGAAGGGGATGCATGGTAGAAGGGGGTGCATGGTAGAAGGGGATGCATGGTAGAAGGGGATGCATGGTAGAAGGGGGTGCATGGTAGAAGGGGGTGCATGGTAGAAGGGGATGCATGGCAAAGGGGATGCATGGTAGAAGGGGATGGATGGTAGAAGGGGATGCATGGCAAAGGGGATGCATGGTGCAAGGTGATTTGTGTGGTGTCAGCTTACCAGGTCCTCTGCCTGAGAGTGTGCAGGGCGAGGCTGTCGGTGATCTCAGCAGCGCTCATCGCCTTGGGAAGGTCCTGCTTGTTGGCAAACACTAGCAGTGCTGCATCCCTTAGCGCGTCCTGGCATGGGGAGGTGACAGGAACAGGCACCGGGTAGCATGGAGTAGCATGTGCCATCTGTTTATCGTGTCCTGTGCCGTGTGTCCTGCGCTCATCGCCTTAGGAAGGTCCTGCTTCTTGGCAAACACCAGCAGTGCTGTGTCCCTCAGTGCGTCCTGGCACGGGGAGGGTATAGGAGGAAGAGGCACGGGGGATGGCAGGGGGGACACAGGAAGAGAGCCAACGGGGGGAAGGAAGGTGCATCTCTCATCTGTCCACGGTGTCCCCTGTGCCTTGGGGTGTCCCTGCGCTCATTTGCCTTGGACAGGCAGTTCTGCTTGTTGGCAAAGACCAGCCATGCTGCATCCCTTAGAGCGTCCTGGCATGGGGAGGTTACAGGAAGGGAGACGGGGAGTAGCAGGGGGTAGCACGTGGCACCTATTTACTGTGGCTCGTGCCTTATGTCCTACACTCGTCGCCTTGGGGAGGTCCTGCTTGTTGGCAAACAAGTCTTTATCCCTGTTATTGCCCGAGCCATGCTCATATGCATTTTGTTCCCCCCTCTGCCCCACCCCCCCCTCCCTCCCTCCACCACCAACATCAACGTTGACAGGTGTTGACTTGAGTTGACCTCTGTTGACTCGTGTTGACTCACCTCGTTGAGCATGGCATGGAGCTCGTCCCTGGCTTCTGTCACCCAGTCCCTGTCGTTGCTGTCCACCACAAAGATCAGCATTGGCCTGTGTGGACCTGCTTTGACCCCCATTGACTTGTGTTGGCTCACCTCATTGAGCATGGCATGCAGCTCGTCCCGTGCTTCTGCCACCCGGTCCCGGTCGTTGCTGTCCACCACAAAGATCAGCCCGTTGGTGTGCTGAAAATAGTGCTTCCACAGCGGGCGAATCTGGAGGAATGGGAAGATGGAAAGAAGGTTTTCTTGCGCGTTGACTTCCTCAGCAGGCGATTCTGCAGGGCTGGGAAAGGAAGGATTGACTATGTGCAGCAGTGCGCCAAGGAGCAAAACTACTGGTGCAGCTGAGACTTAGGTGTGCACTCCTGCAGTGGATATTCCGTGTGATGTGATGGAACTCTAGTTTCGAGACGTCTCAAAACTACCGCTAATTACTATCTTTAGTGTGGACTCTTGCAGTGGATACGAACGAAGACTCCTGTTAGAACTGCAGCATATCTGAGACAAAGAGAAACTTTCTCACACACCCTTGGTGCAGGGGGAATACAGTGGTGCAGAACTCACCCTGTCTTGACCCCCAACGTCCCAGACTGTGAAGCTAATGTTCTTGTACTCCACCGTCTCCACATTGAAGCCTGCAATAAAATCACAAAAACGGTTCGTCAGTTGGTGCTATCAGCCTGCAGGAATGAGTCAGCCACGCACAGCAGCGGAATTAACCAGTTGTTGGAATAGTTGTGACGTTTTCCCCCAGATTCAGCTTATACAGGATGGTGTTTTTTCCAGTGGCATCGAGCCCCACCATCAGAATGCGCATGTCTCAAGGCTAGTGCAGAGGCTATCCAGGACTACTCACCAATTGTTGGAATGGTGGTGACGTTTTCCCCCAGCTTCAGCTTGTAGAGGATTGTGGTTTTTCCAGCGGCATCGAGCCCCACCATCAGAATGCGCATGTCGCGCTTGCCGACGAACGCTGCGAAGGCTCGCACAAGAAAGTTACCCATGATGATAGAGTTACCCAAAACAGGTATAAAAGTAACAGTGGCGAGATGTAGTAGTAACAGTGTTGAACAGTGCTCCACAGGTCTGTACAGCAGTGCAGGAAGAAAGCTCAACAATATGCAGGTCGGATAAAGTTTCTTGGAGTTATCAGGTGAAGTAAGCCGAGAAAGTAAGCTTGGTTCATCCAAGTTGGCTTCTGAGAGTAAGTTTGATCACCAGAGTTTATTTTCTACCGAAAAGTTATCTGAACGCAGCAAGCTACCTGCGGACAGGGGCAGAATGAACCCCGTTGCGGAAGTTCCATGGCAGGAACAACCCGCGGGGAACCAGAGTGCCGCTGATGGGCGTGCGCCAGCTTGGCGGAGTGGAAGGTCCGCCCCGCACCACTTGAGTCACGTGGTGTGGAAAGCACGCAACACGGGGAAAAGCGGACAATGCCTGGGGCCTTCAGAAATGCGAAATGTGCAAATCGGATTGGTTCGATGCGCGCATTAAGATGCGACTCGATGCAGAAGGCAGATGGAAGCTTCAGCCGAGCAAAGCGATTGGTGAGAAACGGACAATAAAGGTTCCCACGTGGGAGGGGGAACTGTTGTATGCCCTGTTTTTCCGATTGGCTGAATGACGTGGGTGTGAAGTTTATTCTCAGGGAGGAAGGGTAGCGGGGCAAATGATTTGTTTATTTGTAATCAATAATCAGCCACTTTACTCGACATATATAGATCAGCGTTTTGCTCAATACTCGCCAGACTATAGACGAAATTGTGGCCGAAAATGTTTTAGGTCGGCCTTTTGTCTGCACGTCCACTGAAGTCAAACGGGTCACCAAGGATCATTAGCGAGACGTCGAGCTGTCGCGAATTTGTTTCGCATGGCATTACCTCTTCCATTTTCTGCTGGAGAATGCCCAGCGAAACCCTCGCTTACATGACCCCCAATGTATCTTCTCGGTAACCAGCCGAATTGTCAAACCTGTCGCACGACGACATGTAACGAATCGGACGGGTTGCACATTGCTTCGCCAAGCCTTCAGCTCTGCAGGCTTGGAGGCAATTCTTGGTTTTGCACAGTGCCCTGATTGCGCTAATGATGCCAGCAGAAGCATTTTCCGCCGATGTTGGCACCTCTCTTCACTCCGAAACCCTAAGCTGCCTCAGGCACCCCTAAAAGACGTGCTCCAGCCGTGAGGCGCACCAGGCTGGGCGGCGATGCGGTATCCGCCTGCGCCGTCACGTGCGGCAAAATTAGGGCTCCAAACGAGAGCCGACCATACGCGGTCACGTCCCCACGTGGCCACATGGCGCATTGCCAGCAGACTCGGAGACGGAAAAGCAACTGGACTGGCCCACTGGGCCAGAGCCTCGAATACGTCACGCAGCCAATCAACGGCCGGCAATGACGATAATACGCGGTCCGTCACGGTAGATACGGATCTCTCCTGCTCATTTCAAGGCATCGCGCGAGAACTGTATCGAGGCCCTCACCCTCAACCTGCCTATACAGTACGCACTGAGAGCTGTTGCGCGCACGGAATGTTCCGGGAAGCCCGTTCCGGGGCACGTGCTGAAAGCTGATAGGCGCTGTCTCGTCACGGCCCCGCACTGCTTTCCTCCCCCTCCCGCCCCTCTCCCCCCTTCCCCCCTTCATCACCCCCGCGGCGGGGGGGACTGAAGCAGGCCCTGATGGGAAATACCCCGGAATTTCCCTCGTGGAAAATC